TCTCGGTGGATGTAAGCTCGCTCGCCAAACTTCGTACGCGACACTCGTACTCTTGCTTCTATGGTGACTTTGCTCGTGTTTCGAGTTTGTTTGGACTGGTCGTTGTTTAGGAGCAATTGAAAGGAAAAGGTTGGATGAAACGCTCGTGCAAGGGTTGAAGTTGGTGAAAGGTTGCAAGTGTGTGAAACACTGTAATGAGTGGTAGTAAATCGTTTGATCAGCAAATACTGTCTTTGACGAAATATTCTCTTTTAAGTATACAGAGTGTCTGTATTGAACTGAACATCTGTCTATCTACCTATAGAAAAATTCTATCTGCGAAAATACAGAAAAATTTCCTCGCAGTTTTTCCAATCGTCCAGAAACGCGTCCGTGAAAACGTATTTCGCCGAGAATTTCGGCCGTTTCCAAGCGATTCGGTTTGATGCAAATAAAAGTGGCCAGCCGCAAGCCACGGAGAAGTTAGCGGTGGCTCCTCTGGGAAAAGGGAGGCCTACCGCGGCGAAGGGATGATGTCAGTCGGTACGCGACGTCTCTGAAGGGAAAATTGAAAACGCTGTGTGCATAGCAGCTGGGAGAGATGTAGGACAAGTCGTAAATTCGACTGGGTGTTAAATATACATGTGTTTTGTGTACCGGGGCAAGAGGGTCGAAGGATATATTGGAAAATAAGGGCTAGAGGGTTGTTCAGAATTCTACGAGGAATTTTACCTTTGGCTATTTCCCTAGTTATTGTGTTGTAAAAGCAGTTGTTTGGAATGTAGAACGGAATGGAAATACACGGAGGAAACAAAGCAAGTTATTGCACCTTGTGTAATTTGATTATCTTGTTAAGGTTATTTGAAAATCATCCGAAATTATGACAATGCTGCTTGAATGTTATCCAGGTCAAGTACTTATCGAGGTCATTTAAGATTATTCCTAGCTTATTCGAAGGTTTAAATAAAAAATAGGATCATATTTTTTTTACTGCAAGGGAGTCGATTTTTGAAAATTACTGGAACTGTTACGTAGATGATTGTTTCTCTAAACATCGTGCGTGCCAATAGAGATTTGGTGCTTCAGTGTTCTCCCAATAGTGAAATAAAGCTGATTACCGCATGAGTGAGATCTGTTACGAATATCGGTAGGCATTCGATCGCTTTTGTTGTTTGGCCAAACAGGATCTATTCAGCTCCGTTCTGAATAATTCTACAGCATCCCTTTTGAACCAATCACAGTTACAATTGGAGGCAGCATAAATCGACAGCTATGAAATCTCCTGGCGAGAGAAACAATTGAACGGCTAACGAGAATCTTTATTTGATTTGAAGTATAATTCTAGTCGTGTGAAGAAATTTCATAAATAATTTATAAATACCATTTTTCAATTACTTTTGTCGCAACTTCAAGTATTTCAGACACCTCCAGAACAAGCATAATTTTCACCCGGAAGGCTAAAGTATTAATCAGCAGAACTCGCGCTAGTTCAAGTAATCGTAAAGCTGATGAATCAAGGATTTATCGGTGGAACTGTTCCAATTAGTCGAACTATCTAAATCATCTTAGCAGACCTCTTCTGACTAAGTCCGGCACTTCAAATGGTTGCTTATATACAAACCGAAAGACTTAGTTATAGGAGATCCCAATTTTCCAAATTAATTTGTACCACGTCCTCTCTCGAGCAAGAGGCATAAGGACGAAACCTTAATTTTACGAGTAAGTTTTACTGAAACGACATACTTCTAAACTAATTACGAACAGAGACTGAATTACGAAGTAGCAGCAGTTACGTTCAAAACTTCCTCATACGCTGCACATGCAAAACTTTCATCTCGTCCATTTTTTATATTATATCGTAGCTCACGGTTCGAAACAAGATTCCTCGAAGTTTAGATAAGGAAAGATTGCAAATATAAAAAGAACACAAGAAATAGACGATACACTTGGAAATTACAACCACTGAAATTACTAGTTTTAACGAAAAACTCTAATACTGTACATTCTTAGAAGAAAATTCCCCAATTTTTATATCTCCGAATCTTTGAAAATTTCCTACCCAATATATTTGTATTAAAAGTCTACTTTTTAACACGTTTAGGACGACAGCGAAATTCACGAAACGCGGTGATAAATAATGCGATGACCCACCGGGGGGTCACGTCGTCAGATGGGAGCATCACTCGATAACCCATCGGTGGGTCACGTTGTCAAATGGGAGCATCACTCGATGACCCATCGGTGGGTCACGTAGGAGGATAAGAGCATCACTCGATGACCCATAGATGGGTCACATCGTCAAAGGGAAGTATACCGCAGTGAGCCATCGGTGGGTCACGTTGTCAGATGGGAGCATCACTAAATGACTCATCGGTGGGTCACGTCTTCAGATGGGAGCATCCCATAGTGACCCATCGATGGGTCAAGTGATCGAATAAGAGCGTCACTCGATGACCCATCGGTGGGTCACGTGACCGAATAAGAGCGTCACTCGATGACCCATCGGTAGGTCACGTGGGAGGATAAGAGGATCACTCGACGTCTCATCGGTGAAACACGTCGTCAATAGGAAGCATCGCACAGTGATCCACTGTCGGTCACTTCAGCAAACAAGAGCCTCCATCAATGACCCACCGGTGGGTCACTTTCACAAATAATATCTCCACTCAATGACCCACCGGTGGGTCACTTAGTATCGAAACCACTAAACCCAGAGATTCGATTCGCTCAAAAAAAAAAATCACAAACATCTACAAAACTGTGAAAAAGAATTTCTCGGAAGTGCATGTACTCACCAAAGAGCCAGCTGGTAATGTAAAATGGCACGGTTCGATTGCGACGTGTCGCGCAGGAAGTTGGCGAAGTTGTAATGCATCTTGGCGTTGTGGGGAAGAGACCGCAGGCCGGATCTGCAACAACGCGATTCGAGGTCAGACACAGGGTCATCCTCGGTCGACCTCGACGCAACCCTTTATCCTACCGCGATTACGTTCGATATCGCGTGGCTCGACTTTCGTTCATACACAGCCGCGATTGCATCGCGCTGGCGACGTGCCCGCGTTGTTCGACTGGTGACGAAGAGGCCCGCGTAAATCTTCGCGGAATTACGCCGCCATTCGGGGAATTTGGACCGGGGATCTCGTGCACCGCGAATTACGAGCCTGCGTACCGAACGAACGATTGCAGAGGGAATTTCGTTAATGTGAATTCTACCTGTCCTCCCCTTTAAATTTCCTGGTTTCACCCGTGTAATTTTTTATTTCATTTTATCCCTTCGTTGTTTTTTATTTCTTGCTGTTAATTCACTTTACTTATTGAGGAGGATAAATTAAATTGTCAGGTATTTAAAATTCAATGATTCGCTTATTTAGGGATTCGTCATTTTTAAGTCTTACTTAGGAAACGCGGGTCAATTCTATTTTGGTTAGTTACAAAAATATTGACTTCTGTGAAAATAATAAGTAACGAATTTTTATTACCCTTACTGAAAAAAAGTTTTTGGATAGTAGAATTTAGAAGTTATATGAATTTTTTCAAATTTTTTTAAAGACTTCTAAACATTAAAGGACATGTCGAAGATAAATGACCCACGCTTACGGTTTAAAGCAGGGGTTCCCACAGTGCGGCCCGCAAACCCTCGAAATGCGATCTTGAATTTACAGAGATAATTTACATTTTTACAAAAGAGTAAATAAATTTTATCATATTATAATTAAAAATTGTCCAGTTGAAAAAATACTAAATTTTACATGTAATACATCTTGTTATTATGTAGATTGTATACATTTTACTGTCTTAACGGCCAACGGCCGTAATTGTCTTAATGGCCCGCCAAATATTTTCGAATTTACAATTTGGCCCACCTAGGCAAAACTTTGGGAACCCCTGGTTTAAAGGCACCAAAAATACTAATTGCACGGTGTGTATGTATAATTTTGCGTTCACCGTATTTGAAAGAAATAATAGAGATTTCAATTATTACAGAAAAATTTTCTTAATATTTACATTCATTTACTCTGACAAATGAGACATCGCGTATAATTCCCACTTACAACATTAAATCCCAGCAAGAATTTCACTATTACACCCTCAAGTTTTATTTTCAAAAAAATCTCCACGCTACTAAATATCCTTTATCACAATTGTAGCTCCTGACTTCATAAAACTGGACACCCATTACAGCGGAACTTTATACTCTTACATTTTTACAACCTACCGAGTAATTTCTTCCTTATAGCAATAAACCAGCAAAACTAACTCCCTCAGTAATAAACTAACACGCTAAATTTATTTTCGAAAAAGCAAACTCCTCTAGCGACGAGTATTCGCAAGTTCCTCCACCGTATCGTGACAGACAAATACATTCTAAAAATGTCCCATTTCGGGTGAAATTGTTCGCCGATGAATTTCAAGATGAAACTCGATCGTTCCTGTTTTCGATTACGCAGAAAAGAAAACGCCAAACCGTCGAATTTTTTAAATTGTTCGCGTTCTATTGTGCGATATATTGCGCGTCACGAAAAACGACTGCGTCGAAACGCTGGAAAAATTCGCGAGAAATCACGCGAGAAGAGAGATTCTCTCTTGCAATTTCCTTTCGGAGAAGTTTCGCCGGCTGACCTGAGTAGGGTTTCTCTAGACGTCCAGTCTCTGTTCCGAAGCACCGTTTTGTAACATCCTAGGAGCAGCAGTAGAACGATTCCCGTTGTGATCAGACTTCTTCTGCGCGGAATGGCCGTCCAGCTGATTTGCATCCCGTACACGACCAAAAGGATCCATCCGACACTGTGAATTAATTAATTTTTTTGCTTCTTGTACGTTAAATAGCTTGTATCTTGTTTAGGAAAATTGATGAAATTATTATTACAGGTATTGTTTCAGTGGATATTCATATTATTAATAACGAAAGCATTACAGAGGACAAAGTGTTAATTACTACGCCGGTGAGTTTGAACACGGTATAGAATTCAGTGTACACAGGAAAACGTTATATTACACTATTAAACTTCCGTAATACTGAATACAATAAGCGTAATAAAATGTTATTACTACAATATCAAACTCCTATTGTTCTAGATTCGGTAAATGTAAGAAGACGCTATTACTACGCCATTAGACTCCCGTAATACCGAATGTACCAAGCATATGAAAATATTATTATTATACCATTAAACCGCTAGAGAATTAAGGTCGCCGAATGTTTGGATAAACAATATCACTTTGTTATCGTAGTTGTACTTATTTTTCGAGCTTCTGAAAATACTAGTGTTTTGTGAAAAAGTATTGGGAATGAATGAAGGAAGAATGTAATGTATCTCGTATGAAAATAGAAAAATAGAAAAATATTAGAAATTAATAAAGGAAGAATGTAAGATATTTCGTATGAAAGTAGAAAAACAGAAAAATACTAGAAATTAATAAAGGAAGAATGTAAGATATTTCGTAGGAAAATATAAGAAATTAGTTATTATTCTTGAGAGATCCGAAAATATTAATATTTCGTAGTAAAATATAAGAAAAATATTAATATTTCCTTAAAAAATATTGGAAATGAATAAAGGAAGAATGTAAGGTATCTCGTATGAAAATAGAAAAATAGAAAAATATTAGAAATTAATAAAGGAAGAATGTAAGATATTTCGTAGGAAAATATAAGAAATTAGTTATTATTCTTGAGAGATCCGAAAATATTAATATTTCGTAGTAAAATATAAGAAAAATATTAATATTTCCTTAAAAAATATTGGAAATGAATAAAGGAAGAATGTAAGGTATCTCGTATGAAAATAGAAAAATAGAAAAATATTAGAAATTAATAAAGGAAGAATGTAAGATATTTCGTAGGAAAATATAAGAAATTAGTTATTATTCTTGAGAGATCCGAAAATATTAATATTTCGTAGTAAAATATAAGAAAAATATTAATATTTCCTTAAAAAATATTGGAAATGAATAAAGGAAGAATGTAAGGTATCTCGTATGAAAATAGAAAAATAGAAAAATATTAGAAATTAATAAAGGAAGAATGTAAGATATTTCGTAGGAAAATATAAGAAATTAGTTATTATTCTTGAGAGATCCGAAAATATTAATATTTCGTAGTAAAATATAAGAAAAATATTAATATTTCCTTAAAAAATATTGGAAATGAATAAAGGAAGAATGTAAGGTATCTCGTATGAAAATAGAAAAATAGAAAAATATTAGAAATTAATAAAGGAAGAATGTAAGATATTTCGTAGGAAAATATAAGAAATTAGTTATTATTCTTGAGAGATCCGAAAATATTAATATTTCGTAGTAATCTGTTGCGAAATTCTTAATGCAATCGTTTCTCCGTGCAATTGAAACAAACGACAAAAGGGCGGCGATTACCTGGGCATGTACAGTACTCGTTCCGCGACGACGAATCCAACGGTAATAAAAAGATTGGATGCGGGCAGGAACGGCAGTACCAGGAACATGCAACCAAGAAGAAGAGGCGGGTGCCTCTGTTGCTGAAAATGAAACAGAGGTTGGTGTGTTAGACGCGATGAAAAGCGTTCTACCTTCGAACGAAATTGTTCCGCGCGCACGCGGAATGTTGTGTCAGCCACTAACCGCGTATTAAATAAACTTTCTACAGGCAAGGAACGTAACGCTTCCGCGTTCCGCTTCTGTTTCACGTTCCTGGCGAACGCTCGAGAAACGTGTCGCACACGCGTCACCGACCTTTCGATCGTGCCTCTTCTAACATATGTACATTTCTCGAACTAATTGGCAAATTCTGTAATTGGATTCTATTTTACACGCTGTGAAATGTTACACGAAATCCTGTTGTACCGCGGGAAAAGTTTTGTAACAACGGATAATCACCGAGATTGACGAAACTTTGGTACTCTGTTACCTATCGATGCAGCTATCGCGAATAGAAATGCGGCGGTATTTTTCAATACCTTGACTGACTACACTTTACAAGTTTACTAATCCTCCGATAAGTGTAAGTTTGTTTCACTTTTCATACCGCGTTATACTTTCTATTACGGGAAAAACGTAAGTCACAGCGTTATGAATACTGAGAAACTTATTTCCATACGCTCAGGAAATGGTTAAAAAAAATAATAAAACTGATCGTTTTTGGCATATCAAGAATAGATCATTTTCGGGAAAAATGTAAGCGTTATCACGCAAGGAACACTATTCTTGCCTCAAAATCACAGTTGGTGTGGTGTCGTATCGGTCCACAAATACGGGCCAGAAGTTAATAGCCCAAGCGAGATCCGGGAGTTTAGAAAACTGGAACAAGTACTGGGAAGAGCAGGAAGGAAGGAGATACGATTTGTGTGGTGATAGATTCGGAAATCTGGAACATTTAACAAGGGACTGCAGAGAAACAGAAAGGGATATCAGGATGGAAGACGTAGCAAGTGGGAGACAGGACAGAAAAATTGTAGAGTGGCTCGAGAAGCTGAAAAAGAGAGAGTGGCTGAGAACACCAAAGAGAATATTAAAGTATAAAGGAAGGGTAACAATTAATGGGTAATAAGTAGGGCGATAAGTTAGTAGAGTACGAGGGAATGTAATTGGGAAGAGCAGGAAGGAAGGAGATACGATTTGTGTGGTGTTAGATTCGGAAATCTGGAACATTTAACAAGGGACTGCAGAGAAACAGAAAGGGATATCAGGATGGAAGACGTAGCAAGTGGGAGACAGGACAGAAAGATTGTAGAGTGGCTCGAGAAGCTGAAAAAGAGAGAGTGGCTGAGAACACCAAAGAGAATATTAAAGTATAAGGGAGGGGTAACAATGTTAGGACAGCAAGGGGACGATTTTATGACACGTGGATTTCCAGTTCAGCAAACCGTTATTTTTAATTTAGCAGACCGGTCTGCAGCGAACATGCGGCACGTAGAATTTCTCAAATATTAAAGAATAGGCTATTGTTCAGTCAGTAAGGCAAGGTATCATAAAGTCACCCCCAAAGGGTCTTCGAAACCGACGCAATCTTCCGAACGAGTCGGAGAGTCAGAGTTGACCTGGCCGGGTTTTCCCCCCTTGTGGTCAAATTTCCATCCGGCAAGGATCAGCTTCGTCACCCCCGCTCCAAGGACGTGACTCGTTCCGGGCGCAATGGAAGAGGGTGATAGGGGGTTGGTCACTTAGTAATTTTAAGAACCTCCCTTCGCGTCCCTTCTTCAAATTTTAGAAGATTTGGAGAAGGGACGACTCGATAAGAAGGCCGACTTAGCTTAAGACCACAAAGTGTTAGTACACAGACCATCAGTTACATTAGAAATCTTAAAGATTCAGTCAGACTCTCAACGCAATACATTGAATCTTCAGGCGGCACCTAGTGCAATATTCCAAGTACGCGGAAATTAGTACCCGAGTGCTTAACACAAGTCAAATTCATGGCTGTGAGGCTGAATAAATAAGTATGCTACAAGAGGAAAGGCAGAGTTTCTTTCATATTGGACCGTAGTATCGTCAGAATTTCGACGCGAACGAACCTCGAAACAGGAAAACGGCGAACGTCGTGAAAGAAGTCGTTTCCAATGAACGTTCTTTTCGAGGATGGACGACAGAGATCACGCGCGACCAGGGCTGGATTAAACCGGCAGGAAACGAGATCAGTGTAAGAGGCTTCGAGCGGAACTGATTGGGGACGGTTGTTTCTTCCTGTCACGGCTAGACGTATATATTTGGAAGCGATGGGGATGATCAAACGGTTCGCCGTCCCTCGACGGCCCGTTTGATTTCCTTCCGGTTTGCTAGATTTACCGAAAAGTAGATTTTTCAAGCAGCCTGTGAAGGAAGAAACATTCTTCGGGCGAATGTTAACAAGATTTTGCGAGTTTAATGAGCAACGTTTTGACGAAATTGCGTTAATTTGAAGTAATTTCGTGTGGAAATATCTTTTGTACGGAGGGAAAAGGACGAGTGTGCGCTTAATTTTATTTGGAGTAAGGGAACTTTAAATATTGAAGGTTTGTACTGCTTCTTTAGAAATGATTGAATTAATTAACATCTATTTTACTGTCATACTTAAAAAATGCATTAATATAGCACAGAAACATCCCTTCTCTGTGTGGCTATAATTTGGAACTTTCGTTTCATTTCCTACTTTAAAATACAAAACTAATTTCTACAATTGAAAATATATTAAAGAATAGTCCTTCGGTTTTTTCTTCAGCGTGTTGAAACTTGAACGTGCTAAATTCAGAATGAAAAAGATGGCCGAGACGAACGTTAACAGAGCTAGACTCCGTCTCTCACAAATCTGAGATCGCTCGAAGATTTACCTGATTCAGAGCGTACAGCTGAAACGTAAGATTGCAGCAACGAGGACGAAACTTGGAAGATTCTTGCAAACGCCGAGGCAAAATTGAGCACCGTGAAATCGGACAACATCGAGACGTTCCAGAACAACGCGTCCGCCGACAGCTGTCTCCTCTTTGTGTTGCCATTCGATACGGGGATTTTCACGGAAACGTTGTTCAGACTGATGGCTGAACGTCACGAAACGAAAACTCGAAGACGGGGACAAAGTAGAAAAAAATAGTACGATGACAGGAACGCTTTAAGCTCGAAAGAATTTCACAGGATAAACCGCGATAAAGATGTCGGAAAAGGATGTGAAGTGTAATCGATGGATGGAACATCGATTCAAATTCAGAATATTCTGTTAACTTCCGATACAGAGAGACTTTGGATTAACAGAAACTATGAATTATTGAGTAAAACAAAGAAAAAAATAGGGAAGTCTGGTGAAAAGTATGAAACAGATCGTGCATGGTACGTGAAAGGAAGAACAAATCCTCGTTGGAGCGTGAATGATCAGAATGACTTGGACAGGACACTTAATCAAAAATGATGAATACAGAAAATGGAAACGAAGATTATCGTGACGTAGAAGTCAACGGTGACATAAAAAATGGAGAGATATTATTCGGTGATATTTCCATCGATAACACAATGGACAACGCAGCGAGGGAGTGATAAACTGTCGACTGCAGAGCTACCTGTGAAAATACCTGAAGCGCACAATGAAGCGCGCCGAAATAAACGACCGAACGATAAATCGTTTTTCATTTCGAAGCCGCTTGTTTTGCTGGTAAAATTGCAAGGCGATACGATCTGTCCAGAAGAAGATTCGAGTATCAATGATCCACGGGTAAAGATCGCCGAAAAAAATAAGAATAAATAAAAACAACTGTGCAAGGAAGAAGCGAGATTTCGGGAATGAAAGCTGAAGAAATTGCTACGAAGCAAGACGACAGAAATCTTGCGTGGAATTATTTCGTGGTATCTCGATGAATCAGCGAAGATGGACATTTCCAAAGATATTTATGGGAAATATAACAAACACCGGAGCACAGTTGAAACATCGATTCTCGCGGGGAAACGCGTCCGTGTGAAACATCGCGAGGGTATTGAAGAGAAATCTATGTCTGGTGAAGAGGTGCAGGCTGAAAGGGAGAAGCGAATAAAAGCGGTGAATCACGGTGGAGCGAGGCGAGAAAGGTACATAATGCTCCATCAGGAGATCGTAGCGATTACGCGGTGGAATCTCATGAAAATATTAAACACGAATGGACACTGTTAGAGGATGGAAGTGAAACGTCGGCGAGAAATTTGGGATAAAAAATGGAAAAGAAGGGGAGACAACTGTGACGAGCGGAGAAAGAAATTTCAGACGAAGGATAAGAAGAGGAAGGATCGTGACATGAAAGACGCGAAGGGAGAAGGATTTACAGTTAAAAATTCAGAAAGAAAGGAGACTCGACTTCGGGAATTCGAAGGAAGATGTGGAATGGAGAGGGGAAGTTTAATTTGAAAGAACTGAAAGGAAATCTGAAGCCAAGACGATTGAAGAGAAAAGAGAAATCGTAGATAAATAATGTAAGGAGAAACAAATTTGGGCCAGTGAATGTAGAAAGGAAGAAGTTTAAAAATTTGAAAGGAAGAAAAATTAGGACAAGATAGGAAGAAAAAGAAATTCGGAGCAAAAAGTTTGGAGGCAAGAGAGAAATATAATTTGGAATACCTAGATAAAAAGAAATCTGATCTAATGAATTTGGAAGAAGAGAAATCTAGGCTACCAATCGTTGGAACTATTATCATATTGAAAAGATCGATGAAACTTTCGTTGATTCTGAACGAGGGACACGAAAAGGCAAGAAATATGAGAAGCATCGAACTGGCCAATTTGACGACATATAATGGTTAGTTTTCTGAAAGAAGGAAAATTGTAAAAGGGTGTCCTCGATAGAGGCACTTTGTGTAGAAACGGCTTTGAGACTGTAGAAGGACGAAGACAATCGTTAAAAGAAGATTATGAAATGACGTCGTCATGAGAAGTCTTTGAAGGTGTACGAGGGATACGGAGTATCTCGAAATTAAGCTAGAGAAGATGAGAAGCTTACTTTATACGGAGGACCTATGCACAAAGGTTTAAGTAGCGATAAAACGGCTAAGGATCATTGCAATTTGAAAAAGGTTCATGATCCGAGTGATG